AAAAAAAGACATGAAGTGGGGAGGTGGGTGGGGAGATGGGTGAAATAGGTGAAGAAGGGGATTAAGAGTACATTTATCCTGATGAGCACTGAGCAATACATGGAATTGTTGAATCATTATTTTGTACACCTGAAAATTAATACAACACTGTATATTAACTACACTGAAATTAAAATTTTTTGAAAAAAGAGAAGCCAGAGATAAAATATTATATACAATATAATTCTCTATCTATGAAATTCTCCAATAGGCAAAAATAGTCTACAGTGACAGAAAGCAGATCCAAACACAAGAGTGGAGATAAAAATGCAAAGCTGCCCAAGGGAAATTTTTTGGACAACAGAAATGTATATATCCTGATTATGACAAGCAGTTCCATGCACTGTTAGCAGGAGTGTAAATTGGTAAAGGTTTTTAGAAGGATAATTTGACAATACTTGTTCAAATTAAAATATGCATATGCTTCAATCCAATGATTCTGCTTTGAACTCTATTTTAAAGAATTATTCAATTCAATGCACAGAAAGGCCTGTACAAGGAATTTGCCATAATAATAATGAAATTATTTGTAATAGTGAAAAGGCAGAAAAACCCAAACGCTCATTAATATGAGGAGTCATTAAAGAAATTATGGCATATTCATACTATGGCATGACATGCAGCTATTAAAATAAATGAGATAGATATTTATGTGCTGATATGAAAAGATATCTAAGATAAATGTTAAAAAGGGACGTCTGGGTGGTTCAGTTAGTTAAGCGTCTGCCTTTGACCCAGGTCATGATCCCAGGGTCCTGGGATCGAGTCCCACATCAGGTTCCCTGCTCAGTGGGGAGCCTGCTTCTCCCTCTGCCTGCTGCTTCCCCTGCTCGTCCTCTCTCTCTCTCTCTGACAAATAAATAAAAAAAATCTTTAAGATAATGTTAAATGAACCATAGTTAGAGCAGACTACCCTATAGGAGTAAGGATTAAACATAATACTCTCTCTCTTTAAGTGTGTGTGTGTGTGTGTGTGTGTGTGTCTAGAATAGTAAACAATGTTCACTTGTGGGGACTGACTAGTATTTGCTGGGAAATGGAAAAAGGAATAAATGTCAACAGAGAAATTGACCTTATCTATCTATGTTATTGTTTGAATTATTTCACAGAAAGAATGCATCCTTCTATTATTTTTTTAAAAGATTTTATTTATTTATTAGAGAGTGAGCAAGAGAGAAACAGCATGAGAGGCGAGAGGGTCAGAGGGAGAAACAGGCTCCCCGCTGAGCTGGGAGCCTGACGTGGGACTCGATCCCAGGACCCCGGGATCATGACCTGAGCCGAAGGCAGTCGCTTAACCAACTGAGCCACCCAGGCACCCATCCTTCTATTATTTTTATAATTCTTACAAAGAATACAAAATTTAAAAGACAGAAAGAAGATGGTGTAGTTCTAAAATCATTAGCCTCAAATTTGAATCCTGCCTCAGAGCCTAGAAGAACTAGACCTAGCAGCTGTTCACTAAATATTTGTTGAATGAATAAATAAATGAATGCTTTTGCCGCTTTTCAGCTCTGTGAGCTTGGTGAAGTCACTTCCCATATATAAGTTTCAGTTTCCTTGTTTGCAAAGAAGGAAAAAAATAATAACTACAAGTTCTATTGAGAAAATAAATTCATTCATTCCACAGATTGATATTTGGCACCTACCTTGCATGAGACACTGGAACAGGGCACTAGGAGTATATTCAGTGCCAAAGACAAAGTTCCTGTCCTCCTGGAGCTTATGTTCTAGTGGGAGGAATAAGAGGGTGAATGGTAAGGGCAATATCTGAGAGATAGGGCAAGACCCAATCTACAGAGCTTTGTGGGTCATGACAAGAAGTTTGTGTTTCATTTCCAAGTGTGAAGAAAAACCACTGTAGGGTTTGGAGGAGAATGTTGCAATCTTCTTCCGCAAAAGTAATAGGAAGCCACTGAAAAGTTTAAACAGAGGAGCTTTAAACTTCATGGAGAGTGGACTGTAAGAGAGCAGTAGTGGAAGTGTGGGGATCAATGAGGGTAAAGTCAAGGAGACAAGCACCTTGGACTATTCTGCCCAATGTTTGGTATACTGTTGAATGCAGACTACCAAGAGGTTTTCTGGGGGTAGGAAAAGGGGAACCATCACTCATCTCTTTGTCAAGCCATTGATCTGCACACTTCTCAAAGAAGTGTATGATGAGTCCTTGTCCTCACTTACAGTTCAGTTGGAAAGACGGGACATAGGTACCTAATAAAAGCAAATACAAACTGGCTCCAGAAAGCATATGCTAAGAGCTAAATAAGTGCTACAGTGAACAAGGGCTGCCATGCTCTCTGAGCAGGAGAAATCAATGCGGTTAATGGTGTTCAGTAAAGCTGAGAGGTTCATAATTAGTGTGACAAAATATACCAATATGCCCAGAACAGCTCCAGTCTGTTTCCCCAGTGTAACTGTTAATAGTGTCTCCTCTAGTGATATGCTCAAAAATTCTGATTTGGATAATGAATTATATGGTGATGCTAGTCATGAGGGCCATTTGCCTCATATGGAGAAAAAAAACCCATATTTGAATACTTGACATTAGCTCCAAATAATGGCCAACACTTAAATAGCATGTACTGTGTGCCAAACATAATTTAAAAGCTTTACACATGTGACTTATTTAATGCTCAATCCAAACCTATTGTGGTAGATATTAGCATTATTCCCATTTTATAGATGAAGAAACTGAAGAACAGAAAGATAAGAAAGTTGCCCAAGATCTCACAGATACTAAGTAACAGAACCTGGATTCAAACTAAGGCTCTCTGAAGGAATTCATTCATAGAGGTTGGCTTCAGAGTTCAATGCATTCACAGAAGGTAATATTTAAAATATTACACATTTGTCAGTATGAAGTTTCCTCAAAAAGTTATAAATAGAACCACCGCATGATCCAGCAATTGCACTACTGGGTATTTACCCAAAGAATACAAAAATACTAATTTGAAAGGATACATGCACCCCAATATTTATAGCAACATTATCTACAATAGCCAAATTATGGAAACAGCCCAAGTGTCCATTGACTGATGAATGGATAAAGAAGATGTGATATATACATATATATTTATTAATTAATATTTATATATTATATACAAAACACACACAATGGAATATTACTCAGCCATTTAAAAGAATGGCATCTTGCCATCTGCAACTACATGGATGAAGCTAGAGTATTTAGGCTAAGCGAAATAAATCAGTCAGAGAAAAACAAATGCCATATGATTTCACTCATATGTGGAATTTCAGAAACAAAACAAATGAGCATAGGGGAAAAAAATAGGACAGAGAGAGACAAACCAAAAGACAGACTCTGAACTATGGAGAACAAACTGATGGTTACCAGAGGGGAGGTGGGTAGGGGGATGGGTGAAGTAGGTGATGGGGATTAAGCAGTGCACTTGTTGTGATGGGCACTGGGTGTTGTATGGAAGTGTTGAATCACTGAATTGTACACCTAAAACTAATATTACACTTTATGTTAACTAACTGGAATTTAAATAAAAACTTAAATAAATAATAAACAAAAAATAAATAAATAAAAATATTACACATTTGTAACCCTTCAATTTTTCACTCTAACATGAAACTCAAAACTTAAGAAAATAATAGTGAAGTGCCCCAGGTCTATCTTAGCATCAGAGAGACTCTGTGTAGGTCTCAGATAAGGTGAGGCAGGGTAGGAGGGTGTTCCAGGCTGAGGTCCAAGAGGAAGGTGATAATAGTTCAGGAGAATCAGAAGTTTAAACCAGGGAGTCAGACTGTGGGAGTCCAAGAAAGCCAGGCTAAGAAACCGGGATGTTTTATTTTCTGATAAAAAAGAGGGCACTTTTGGCAAATTTCTACTTTGGAATCAGTACATTACACTAGATGGAAGGAGAAAGGGAGAGAGGGAACGAGAAAAAGAGATGAGCTGGGAAAGAGAGAAACACTCTGTCTTTAGACTCTTACCCCAATTTCATGGACCCTTTCCACCAATAAACACACAAGAATTTCTTCTCTATTTCTCGTTTTCTGAGACTATTAGCTGCAATCCCTTGATTTTCTCATTTTTCAGATGTCCTAAGGACCCTTTCAGAAATAATACTCTTCCAGGAAAAATAGGATGAAAACAGAGAGGGAGGCAAACCATAAGAGACTCTTAACTCTAGGAAACAAACTGAGGGTTGCTGGAAGGGAGGTCGGTCAGGGGAAGGGGTAATTGGGTGGTGGGCATTAAGGAGGGCACTTGAGGTGACGAGCACTGGGTGTTATATGCAACGGATGAGTCACTAAATTCTACCTCTGAAACTAATACAGTGTATATTAACTAAATTGAATTTAAATTTTAGAAAAAGAAAGAAAAGAAATACTACCCTTCCAGTCTTGGGTAAGGCAAGGACCTCAGGGATCATTTGCGCCAACTTCTCATCGTGCATTCCTTCGTTTGTTCATTCATTCATTCATAATATCTTTTAAGCACCTACTATGTGTTAGATGCCGGGGATAAAATAAGGAGTAATATATAGTCCCTGCTCTCACAACAAAGAAGGCACCGAAGCCCAGAGAGGGACACTGACTCGCCCCAAATCAAAAAATCCTGTGGCCGTCCTGGGTCTCAAACACAACGGTTCCCCGGGGATGCCCTCTTCCCTTCTGCCCATAGCTGAAAGTTGCGGGTTACAGGAAGGCAGGTATCTCCAGGACTTGGCGGGCTAAAGGGCTCCCATTGCTCCCGCGGTCCAGCAACAAAATGCTACAGAGAACAAAGGCGGAGACCAGCCCTGAGGTATCCGCAGCGGGGCCAAGAGGTCCCAGGAGGAACTGTAGGATCCTGAGCTGGACAAAGGAGGACGCAGAGGCCGGCGGCCTCTTCGCAAAGAAAGATTGCACCTCTACAGCCGCCGTAGCCAAGCCGGAAATGTGGTTCTGCCACGTTTCCCGTCTAGTGGTCCGGAAGGATGAGTTCTGAGATGGCCGAAGGCAGGAGCCCCGAGGCCCAGCTGTGCTCCGAGCAGTTCGGTTCCGGGGCGGCCCGGGGCTGCCTCGCCGCCGCCGATGGGAGCCTGCAGTGGGAGATTTCGGGGTGGCGCTGGTGGGGGTTCTCTGGGCCCTTCACAGTAAAACCCCAAGGACGGGATGGCGGCGCAGGGGGGGCTCCCGGGACTGCTTCACCACCTCTCTCCGGTCTCATGGCCGTGTTCCTGCCGCAGGGCTTCCCCGATAGCGTCAGCCCGGACTACCTGCCCTACCAGCTGTGGGATTCCGTGCAGGTCAGCCTGGCCGACTGGGGGAGGGGGCAGCATGTAGCCACGGGTGAGGGAGACAATGCGGGCCACCTCCCTCCATTTTAGAGATTGGAGACTGAGGCCCAGAGCGGGGCTGGGACATGTTTCGGGTCACCCATCTGTGAGAGCTGATAATAGAACTTAGACCTCCGTGGCCCTGCGCACATTCCTCACCCCACCTTTTTTCTTCTCCAGGCCTTTGCTTCCAGCCTCTCAGGCTCCCTGGCCACCCATGCAGTCTTGCTGGGCATAGGGGTGGGGAACGCAAAAGCTTCTGTTTCAGCTGCCACTGCCACCTGGTTGGTGAAAGGTGAGCTGGGCCCCTGGAACCTCACCTGTCGCTGCTGTCAGCCCTGCCACCTCACTGGCCTCTTTTTCCTCCTACTGGGAAGCCCAACCCCTCCTTTCCCCCATCCCAGTGTTCTGGCCTCTAGTTCTGGGCTGTGATGTGTATTTGTACGGACTCGTTCCTGATTGGATCTGGGAGGCAACTCTCCCCAGTCCCTAAAACGGTATTTTTATTGGTTTTATTAAACAATTAATTAGTCGTCCACGACCAGAATATCTTCATCCTGAGCACCAGCCTTGCAGCCGCCCTCAGTTCCCCATACTGTTCAGAGTCTCTAAATCATCTGGAGCTCACATCGCTAAGTTAATCATCCCCTCTCCTTTACCGCTAGGCTTTTTGTGGAGCGCTGCATAAGAATGCGGTTACTGAATAAAACGACCGGCTGCTTGAAATGTGGGAAATGGCTCAGTTCTAGAAAAAAACAGTTTTGTAATTAGTCCTGCGTAGGAAAGAGGAGGTTCTGGGAAAGACGAAAGGCATTTTAGAACCTCTGGGATACCGGATGATAGTAACTGTAGTAACCTTCTGTTGGATGTGTACAGCTTTTTGAAAAACCACTAATGAAAAATAGAACATACGGTTTGGTACCATGCCACCTAAAGAGTGAGGCAGAGAAGAAAAGGGAAACTGCCACGGGTTCCACATCAGGAGGGCCTATGGCTCTCTTCACTGTCCTTTGTCTTTCATATACTGGTTCCCTGTGGGAACTTAAGTCAGACCCAAGCCTGTGAGCCTGGCCACATCTCTGGTGAGTCTCCGTGGATCTTTTGGAGGATCTGGAGGCTCCTGCTTAACATCCTTATTAAGACTGAGCAAACTGGCCAAATGTGAGTCGCCTCTTGAAAGAAGCCTTTCTCTGTAGGGCTTCTTGTCCTGGCTATCTCTCTTAATAATAATAGTTCACACAAACAGTGTTTATTATTTGCCAGTCTTTAAAAATGCTGACTTCACAGTAGCTCTGAGATAGGTATTGTCATTACACCCATTTTACAGATAAGAAAACTGAGGCACAAAAAAGTAACTTGGCCAGGGTCACAGCCAATAAATTGTAGGGCATGGATCTGAAGCCAGGAGGTTTAGTTCCGGATTCATTTTCATACCACCAAACTGCTTAATTTGGACCTTTTCTGTTGCTCTTCTGTTGGCTGAGTGTTTGGAATGCGGCAGGAACATGAATCAGTAATTGATGTTATCATGTCATTCCTAAGCACCCTAGTCTTATCACCAACATGTTGCCCATATATGTGTTTAAGTTATTAAGAAAAAATAAGACCATTTTAACGTAGGAAAAAAAATACCCACTTTTTAAAGCCTATTGTTGGTATTAAAGGAAGCCTTAACTAGAAAAGAGTTTACAAACTCATTTCCATCAAACCTGGGAAATTTGTATGTGGAGCTTTCTATAAGAAACTCCCTTGGGAAAAAAGAAACTCCCTTGGAATTTTTTTTAAGTCATTTTTGGTTACAGATCTCTTAGTGGAACGTGGTGTTAATTGTCGTAACTAACAATAGTAATAGTACTAGCAGCTAATATTTTGACAACCTATACTGTATGCCAGGAATTTTGTACACTTACTTGTAATATGTAACTTAATCTCTACAGCATCCATATTAGGTAGAAACTATTACTAATACCTTTTTCAGAGAGGTTTTGTAACTTGCCTAAGTTAACATAGGGCCAGGATTTGGACCCAGACCGACTCACTCCTGTGTCCCACTCTTAACTGCCACATTCTTGTCAGTGAGATTTAGAGTGGAGCCTGGTACAATTTGTGGACAGCTGATCCCTTACGACTGCTCAAAAGTTTCTAGATCGTATAGCTCAGCTAATTGTAAGTGAGGCAAAGAAGAGCAAATGGGAATTAAGTTTCCTATCTAGTGGACAGTGTTGACTTTCAGATACAGGGAGGGTATGTGTCATTATTGCATCCTAGTGCCAACTTCCAGATTCTGACAAGGGCCCTGCAGACTGCTGATGAAACATAGAGTAGGTCCCCTTTCTACCCAGTGGCCCTTGTATGCAGGACATACACCTTATTGGATGTGAGTGTGCAGTCAGAGGGAAGAAAAATAGAGTCTGGCCCAGTGAGCTGTCGACAAGTAAAAGTAACCTTGGCATGTTCAGTGTCGCTAAGTTGAGCCAATACAAGAATCTTAAGTGGAACAATAAAATTTTTGTGGTGAATAAAATCATAGTTGAAAGAAAGAGGGTAAAGTGGGTGATAGAGGAAGCCTATAAAGCCACCTGGTGGGTATTCCAGGGATATACAGGGGACAGAAAGAGAGAAGTGGAGCAGGCCCAGTAAGAAATGTACATATGCCTCATCTGAAGTAGCCACTGCTCAGCCCCAGCCAGTTGTGGTGGTAAGGGAAGAGAGGTTCAGGGTTGCCATGTCTTCAGGTTCTTCCAGAAAAGCTGGAAATCCAGATTTTCTCATAAAACGTCCCATTTTTGTTGATCTAGCTTCTCTGAGCTTCAGTTACTTCATCTGTGAAAGGGAGGATCTCTCAGAAGTTCATAGGATTGTGCTGAAGTTTGAAAGGAGGAGGGATTTTAGGTGACCACCAGCCTGTTTACTGGTGTTCCTCAGGCCCCGAGTTTCGTAAAGATGTCTAGGTAGAAGGCCTCACTGCCCAAGGATAGAGGTTGGGGCAAGGGGTGAGTACCGCTCTTTCCAGTGGAGAATGGGGAAGGCCAGCCTGTCACCACCTTTTTATGTTGTAGGATACTCCCAACCCTCCCCAAAACCTAGTTTCCCTTCTTGCATTCCCTTAAGGGTCCATGCCCTCGAGGTCAAACAAGTTAGGAGTCCTCTGCCTACTGTATCTTTCCTTTCCGGTGTCCACTGTATGAGGCCTTCACAGTTGTCGGGTTCTAAAACAGTCCTTTGTGATCCCCCTGCTGAACTTAATGAATGCTACTCTCAATATAAGAGGTTTATATCAGGGGGTGGAAAACCTTCTGTAAAGGACCAAATGGTAAATATTTTACACTTTGCAGGCTGTATAGTTTCAGTCACAGCAACTGATTCTGCCATTGTGTCACAAAAACAGCCATAGACAGTCTGTAAATGAATGGGCACAGCTATGTTCCAATAAAACTTTATTTGTAAAACAGGGAGTGACGACTGTAGACCACGGTTAACTGATCCTTGGTCTAAATCACTGTTTTTCATACCGCTGTTTGCTTTTATGCTGTATTTTGAGTCTGGAACCATGACCTTCTGGGTCGCGGTACCCCCTTACCTCTTATAATGCCTGGCACAAAAGTAGCCAGTAAGCATTTGTTGTGCAAATGAAGGTCTAGCTGATTCTGGGGACTTCTCTGACTCTGGTTAGCCTGAGGAGGCCTCTCCCTCTGCCCCACACCCCCAGCTGTCATCATCAAACTGTAATTCAAATCCCCCCCTTTTTTTTTAATTGATACTCTAATGACCACCCGTGAACCCATTGCCCAACCTAAGAACTAGAGTATCAGCAATAACCTCTGAACTTTCCACCCAGGATTTCCTGCTTTTCCTTTTTTTTTTTTATAGTTTTGCCATATAGATATATATATCTATCTAAACACTGTATGGTTTCATTTTAGAGCCTTACGAGAAGTGTATTTTGCCGTATGTAGTCTTCATGGCTTACTTTTTCATGCAATATTGTAATACTAGGACTCACCCATTTTGATATGAGTAGTTGTGCGTTAGATTTTTGCTGCTGTCTAATATGCCACTGAGTGAATATACCAGAATGTATCTATGCATTCTCCTGCTGATGGGCATTTGCATTATTCCCAGTCTTTGGCTGTTTATGAACAATGCTGCAAAGAGTATTTCTGGTCCATGTCTCTTGGTGTGCATGGGCACATAGTTTTCTTGGGTACATTTTGAGGAACTGCTAAGTCTAGACACTTCTGACCCCATCATACAGCTCTGTCTATCCAATATTTATTTTGCCACACTGAGTTCCTAAGAGCAGTGATGCAAGGTGAATCGGCCATTTCAGTGCCAGGGTCTGCGAGGCCCAACAGCCCCCAAGGCTCTTCCTTGTTCCTTACCAGTGCCTCTCTCCCCCAGATTCAACTGGCATGCTGGGCCGCATCATCTTTGCCTGGTGGAAGGGGTGAGTTTGTCTTCCTGGTCTGGCCACTCTCCCCAGACGGGGGTCACGTCTGTCTCATCCTTGGCTGTATTTTCAGCAGCTCCTCTCTCCTACCAGTCTCCAGGGGAGGGGAGATTTAGCAATTATTTCATCAGAGCTAAGGTACTTACTTAGTAAGTACCCAGTCCAGGTGGCTCGCCCTAGCAATGAAGCCACAAGCCATTGCTATGATCACGCCTGCCTTCAAGAACACTGATTTGCCATTCTACTGCCCATCGTGGAAAAATACAGCCACAAGGCTCTAAGTGTTCTCTGTTTGCTTGTTGAAAGAGAAGCCTGAACAGGACCATGCTGAATTCAAAAGGATTGATTTTACTCCAAAAGCTACTTTGGTGGCTCAGGTACTTGATTGGACTTCGCCAAGCCTAGTGGGGAGTAGACTTGGGCAGGTCATCGGGATCCCTGTCCCACATGGAATCAGCGTACCATTTATCTAGAAGGCATTAAGGATCTTGTGCTGCCTTCTTCCTCCTCATGTCAGTAATGGGCAACCTCAGGAGTGATTTGGTATCTGCAATTAATTGTAGGCAGACACTACCTACGATGTGTTCAGTGAGATGGGTTATGCAAAGTGCATAGCATATTGTGGCACATAATAAGTATAATAATAACACTTATTATTAACCCTAATAAGTGTTAGCTGCTGCTAACAGCCCTGTGCCTCATAAGCTCTCTACATATCCTCTCTCATCCTCAGAACAACTTTGTAGAGAAGGATTAAATATGTACATTTTAGCAGACCTAAAAAGGGAAGTCACTTACCCGAGTTGCACGGCTTATAACTACTAGTATCAGGCTGCTTTATTGGGCAGAGCCCTAGACCAAGGCCACGTGTTCTGGTCCTGCCTTTGCCATTTATTCCCTCAGAAGTTTCTAATGTGTGTCCCATACCCCACCTAGGAATGCCCCTTTTCCCTCCAGGAGATTTCAAAGTAAGGGACAGGGCTAATGCTGCAAATTCTGAGCTGGTCTGGGGCTACAACACCCTCTGCTACTGGACTCTTGGAGGAGAGGTCCCCAGGAGTTTGTGCACGGGCCAGGGAGTCCCTCTGCCTGACAGAAGAGGCATCTATCCTCTTGGTGATAGAAATATCCTAGGCCTAGGTGTCAGGGCCTGCCTCTTTCTCTTGGCTTTTTTTTTTTTTTTTTCCCTTGGCCCCTGCTTTCCATGTGACCTGAGGGAAGTCCTGTCCCCAGTCTGGGCTACTTATCTGTAACCTGTGGGGGGTTACACTAAATGTCGTCGTTTACCAGTCTAAAATATGTGGACTTCTTGCTGGCTACCCTCGATCAAGTGGGAGGAAGGGGTGGGGAGATGTCAGAGGGACCCAGGGATGGCTTCTCCCAGGGGAGGGCCAAAGGGTGGGGAGCAGCCACAAGACAATCAGTTCTTTTCCCTGATGCATCCTGGGTTAGTGAAGGGCAAACACAAAGTGACCACTGAAGGTCCTCCCAGCTAATGGTATTTCAGGCAGCAGTGACAGGGTGTTGGGACAGATGTCTGCCTGGGGTATGGATTTCGCTGAGCCCTTCAGACCTAACCTCAGCCTGCCCACAGGATGTGTTTTCTCCTTAAATTCGAATTGCAAACCAATGTCTCCTCCCCAACAGGAGTAAACTGGACTGCAATGCCAAGCAGTGGAGGTAAGGAGGGGCTGAGACAGAGGGGAGGGAAGTCTATTATGAAGGTCTCCTACCTCTGATCTCTAACCTCTGATCCCTCCCCCCAGGCTTTTTGCTGATATCCTCAACGATGTAGCCATGTTCCTCGAGATTATGGCTCCCATATATCCAGTCTTTTTCACCATGACCGTCTGTACCAGCAACCTGGCCAAGGTATCCATGGGGCATCCCCTACACCTGCCTGTGTGGGCTTACTTGGGGCCCACAAGTGAGACCAGCCTGGGCCCTGTGTTCAAAGCACTTGTAGAAAAGTGAAGAAGTTCAGATTTTTTCTACTCGAACTCAACCATACTTTCTGATTCTCCTCCAGCCAAATAGTGCCTCACATAGTCTAAGACAGTGTCTGAAACCACAGGATTGGTGAGGGGCTGTGAGCTGAAAGATAGAAGAGGTGTTCCAATGTCAACATGTTGGGACCAGCTCCCTGGCTAGCTTTCATTCTTTCAGTAAAATACTTATTGAGTGCCTAGTGCATGTTTGGCATAAAATATAGGCCCTCCCATTTTTTTCTTTGAAGAAAGCTGCACATAATTAAACAAATGTTTATAACATTGTAGCTACAGGTATTCCAGATGAGAAGTGTGGGAGGCTCCAAGAGGGTTGAGCAGGGATTCTGGCCTAGTCAAGGGATAGGCCCTTTCCCTAGGCCTGGGTCCTGAAGAATTGAGTTTAAGGTGAAGGGTGGATGTTTTTGAGTAGAAAGAACAGTGTGGGTCAAGGTCCAGGGGCAAGGCAGCATGAAGTGGTTGTGAGGCTGGAGGGTCACATGGGGTGAATGCGAGCTCTTCGTCTCTGCCAGGCTGCTCACCCTCACAGTTCCTTCAGGTTGGCTGCATCCAGGTGAGGGAACTGAGGCATAGCAAAGTTCAGCAAAGAGCTTAGCCTGTCTTCACCACAGGGTTAAGCACCTGGCACAAAGCAGTGACTCAAGAAGACGTCAGATCCATCTCAAAAGCCCATCTATCTGTTCAGAATCACTTCAGAGCACTGCTTCTCCACGGGGCACCAGTGACATTTCAGATACAACAGTTCTTTGTGGTGGATTACATTCAGCCCAGGTACCAGTCCCTGGCCCAGGCACACTGCCCTGAGCACCCCCTCCAGCTCCAGGGCAGGAAGCACCAGAGAAAACCAGGGCTGTAGCTGTAGACCAACGATTGTGACCTCTGCCATCTGTTTGAAATTATGCCTTATACTTTGCCTTTGGGGCCTCAGTCTCTTCATCTGTCAAATAAAGGAGTAGGATAGGGCCATGAACTTCCCTGACCACCTCCCACCCTCTCTAGAGTTCTAGTCTCAGTGACTAGTACCTCCGTATCCCAGCTACACGGGTCAGAAGCCTGGCTGTCATCCATGCCTTCTCCCCTCCCACTGTTACCTTCATGTTACCTTCAGCTAAACCTCCATCTGGTGGTTCCTTGTTGCTGAAAAAGCATGGTTGCTTCCTAGGTAGTCTCCCTGCTTCCATTCTCACCTCTCTTCATTACTTCTCAGAGCAGCCCATAATCCTTTTAAGAATGGAAATCAAATCAGGTCACTGCCCTGCCCTCATTGCTCCTTAACAAGGTCCACAGGATCTGGTCACTCCAGCCTCATTTTGTACCACATTCCTCTTACCTTTGAGCAAATTATTTCTTCTGCCTGCATGACAACTTGTGTGTTTGTTTATTGTCCATTGATTTTTTTTTTCCTGGAATTTGTTGAGTTCTTTTTATTTATTTATTTATTTTTTTATTATTATGTGAATCACCATACATTACAACATTAGTTTTTAATGTTATTATCTATTGATTTATACACTTAATGAGGGCAAGGGTTATATCCGAATTATATCACAGCACTAAATCTGTGTCTGGCATCTAAAAGAGATTTGATAAATATGAGATGGATGACAGTGATCAGTGACCCTCATTGATGAGTTCTACCATCCTAGATCTCAGGGATTGAGGAGGCCCAGGTGTCCTGGGAGGTCAGGGCCATCACTGTGGGTTTTGAAGCGGCCTGGAAGACTTGACTGGGCCTCCACTGGGACAGGAAGAGAGTGGAGTTAGTTACGGGCAGAATGGAAGCATAAAGTTGGAAACCAGACTGGGCCTGGGAGCTTAGCCAAGGGGCAGGTGCAGCCAAAGTAGAAGTTGGAGGTTGGAGAAGTTGTGGGCTAAGAACAGTGTTTGGGCCTCCACCTTGGGGAAATAAATGGAGTTCCTTGGGACTAGGCCACAGGGAGGCGTGACAGGCAGGGCTTTAGTTTTCTCCAGGAATAAGAGGGGAGGTGGATCTAGTAAAAGTGTGGGAATGAGAACGAGATAACCAAGGACAGCATTCAGGGTTTTGCTCTTTGGTCACCTGATGCCTGGTTTTCTCAAACTGCTTTGAGTCATTTATTTGGCTCAGCCACAGAAGTGCCTATGTTGCCGCAACACGTGGCCATTCTGACCTTCCTTCTCCCTTTCCCTACCTAGTGCATTGTGAGCGTGGCTGGTGGGGCCACTCGGGCTGCCCTGACCATGCACCAGGCCAGGAGAAACAACATGGCTGATGTGTCAGCCAAGGACAGCAGCCAGGTGAGCAGCTGGAGTTGGGGGTGGGGGGAGTCGGAGCAGGGAGGCAGGCCAGGCCATGATTTGGGAGTGTGGAGAGAAGCACCTGAGTGCTCCTGAGGGTAGGGTTGGGAGACCGACACACAGGAAGAAACGTCGTGCTCCCTGCTCTGACTCACATAGGTAGTCAGGTTGAGGGCATGAGTTCTAGTGGCAAAAGTCCAAGCTGATCATCTCAGCCCCTTCCCACTGCCTGTGTGGCCAAGAGTGGGCCCTTGCCCTGGCCTTCGCCCTCTCTGGGCCATAGCCCCAACCTGGGAGGTGGATGTCTGACCACGTGAGGCCCCATACGTTAAAGCACTTGGCAAGTCAAAAAGTGCTCAGCACGTGAGGTAGCTGGGGTCATTGGCCAGAAGTCTCCACTTGACAGTTCCGTAGGCCCTTTTGACCCAGCCCCTCACCTGACCGGGGCGTCCTGGAGGAAAGGTGGAGACCCCGAAGGCTGAACTCTACAGGTATTGGATCCTCCCAGGCCCCTGTGCTAGGTGCTTATGTGTATCGTGGTGTTTAACTCTCACACCAGCCCCAGGAGGGCTATTACTATTATTATTATCCCTGTTTCACAGAAGAGGAAATGAGGCCCGGGTTAGTCAGAAGTGTGACGTAGTTGGGACACTGAAGCAATTTAGAAACCTGTTCTGTCCGGTCCTACGCTCTATGCTTCTCTTAAATTGTTTTGCTCAGTTTCTAAATAGAAATTTTTTTAAATTTAAAATTAACTCCTTTCAACAATATTAACAGAAGCTAAAAAACATATACACACACACACACACACACGTATATATATAAACACCAGCTGATATTTATTAAGCACTAGCCGTGTGCCAAGTATTTCATTTATATGAATTCATTAAATCCTCACAGTGGTCTTACACAGGAGGGACTCACTGTTGCCATTCTACAGATGAGGAAATAAGTCATAGCTTCAGTCCCCCTGAGCACCTTTGGACACATCCCTTCTCTCAGGAAATGGTTGGATTAATTCTTCCCCATTATGTCTTCCATAGGTTATTAGGAAGGGAGAAATAAGTACAACCCAGGACTTGGTGCTTTAGGATCTTCCAGCTCCATGCCTGCTGCCTCTCACCTCCTCTCTTTCTAACCCCCAGCCCTCCCCATACCCCGAGGCTGTGTTTTCCAAGCCCCAGGGCTCCCTCAGTCTGCAGAAGCAGGGACACATCACAGGGGCAGTGCAGGACTTATGCTCAGTCCTGCGGCAGGGCCCTGCTTTCTGCTGTTGTTGGTTTATTGCCACTTGATGGGGCTGCCGGCAATGACTCTTCCCACCTGAGGGAGAGGAGGTCCTTATGCTGTTGCGCAACCAAGACCTCTAATCTCCCATTTACCACCTATTTACACCCATAGCTCTTCTTTCCACAGCCCGCCCCCTTGCCAGGACAGCTGGGTAGGAAGAGCTCTCCCAGCCTCAAGCCCGCTTTGTGCCAGGACCAGCTCTCCCTTGGACCCCAGTAGTCAGGGGCACCAATCCAGACTCTTCCTCCCTCACGATGAGTTGGGGACAGGTGGCCTGGTGTCTGGCCAGTCAGGCCATCTCAGGCCATCAGAGCGTTCTGATAACATTGATTATAACATTGATTCTCAAGGGAAGAGGTTTGGATCTTGTGCCTTTCTTCCTGAGTGGTTCCTTGAACCCTTCGCACATGTGTCTGTCAGTTTTTGTATACCACGGGGCTGAGGGGGACCAGTCTTTTTAAACCACCAAATATAAGAACTTTCTCATTCTGAGGACATTCGCTTGCCTGGGTATAGGGCTGCTCAGAGGACTCTTGCAAAACAAAGAAGACATGTTCCAAGGGCATTGTGTCTACCTAGACAGAAGCAGCTGGTATCTTAAATGACAGCTCACTCATTAAAAACTTACTAGGCATCCTCATCAGTGTCGGGAGCCCTGGGAGGAACTGGGGCAGGGAGGAATGTGGTGAAAGGCACTCAAGGATATTCCGCCTGGCCTGGAAGGAAGCTCTCCAACTCCCAGCCCTTCTGCCATTTTCTAGGAGACATTGGTAAACCTGGCAGGGCTCCTGGTCAGCCTCTTGATGCTTCCCCTGGTGTCAGCTTGCCCTAGGTAAGACAGGATCAAGGGCAGGGAGGAGGTGCCCAGCCAGGCCTCTGGCCCTGTTGACCGCCCCATTCTCCCACCCAGCTTTAGCCTCAGTTGTTTCTTCTTCCTCACCGCCCTTCACATCTACGCCAACTACCGGGCAGTCCGAGCCCTTGTCCTAGAGACCTTGAATGAAGGCCGGCTCCGGCTGGTCCTGAAGCACTTCCTTCAGAGGGGAGAGGTACTTGGCCCCACCTCAGCTAATCAGATGGAGCCACTGTGGACAGGTGACCCAACCCCTTGGTCTCAACTACTGTGTCTCCCAGTCTCTCCCCGGTCTGGGCATCCTGACTCCAGCTTCCCACAGGTTTTTGGCCGTCTCTGTCTCTATCCCTGGGGGTCCCCCTACACCGCTTGATCTCCAGGTAAGTGGCCCAGTGTCTCCCACCCACCCCTGCTGCCACACCCCCTCCCCCCCATATACGCTCTTTATTCTGATTACGCACTGGCCTCCCCTGACCGGGCCTCACCTCTCCATTCTTGGTTCTTTATTGCCACTGACCAGACTTGGGGTCAGCATGGGTGTTTGAGGGCAGCAGGGGTGTGACACAGAGTAGATGTAAGGGATACATTTGTTAGATGCAGGAAGAAAAGAAGGATGGATGTGGCGTGCATGGGTAATGGCTGAGAGAGATCGGAAGGGGGTGAAGGACACATGAAGTAAGGACAGTTCAGCTGACCGAATGGTTACTCCTGCTTTTGCTTTCTCCTCCCCCACTCCACTTTCTTCTTTCCTTCAGCGTCTTTGAGCTGCAACAGCTGGTTGAGGGACACCAAGAACCCTACCTCCTTCGCTGGGACCAGTCACAAAGTAAGTGTGCCGTGCTCTTCCAGCCTTAGATTCACCCTTCTGGGGTCAACTTCTCATTCCACCAGCTCCAAGGCCTCAAGCCCTGGACAATTTAGAGGCTGCCTGGTGTCCCGGAAGGAGCTCTGGACTAAGACCTGGTGCATTCAAATTATAGGCGCATGCCCCAATGAAATTCACGTTGTCCCTGTGTAAAATGAGGCTAACAATACCTGCCTTATTGTCCGTGTGTTTTTATGAGAATCAGATAAGGCGATTATGTAAAGCAATTTATATATTGCAACGTACTCAAATAAGATTATGACCTTTGGTTACCCGTGGAGAACGTCTCTCTCCCATCCAGAGTCACCTGTTAAGGAAACAGGTACTGGAGTTTACCGGTCTGCTGGTTGTGTGCTAAAAGGTGCTTATTCTTACTAGACATGCAAAGTAAACCCACCTCAGTGGGCTCCTATAAAGTTGTATTTGGAAATTGGGCATTTCAGTTTGGCCAGAACACTGGGACAACAGGAGACGAAGATGGAAGGGAAAGGGTGAAAGATAGCCTCCCTCCATGCCAGGCTGAGGCCTCAGGGCAGACAGGGATGAAGCAGGATTGGTAGGTCTGAGGGTGTTTAGGGAGGTGGCCCTTCCCTAGTACCAGTCTGTCTCTGGGTTTCTCCAGACCAGGTGCAAGTTGTTTTGAGCCAGATGGCAGGCCCTGAAACCATCCTAAGGGCTGCCATACATGGACTGGTGCTTGAAGCCCTGCAGGGAGATGGGCCCCTGCCAAGAGAACTGGAGGAACTGAGGAACCGAGTACGGGCAGGTAAGCACCTCACAGTCTAGGCTGCTGATGGCTCGAAGAGGGGTAGAGAGAAGAAGGACTGTGTTACACTTGGGGACCTGACAGCTTCTGGTTCTGCACCCACCTCCAGGTCCTGAGAAAGAGAGCTGGGTCATCGTCAGGGAGACACACCGAGTGTTGGACAGGCTATTCCCAAAGTTCTTGAAAGGTAACATCCTTAAGCTCCATGGCTCTTTGGCCTCTGGGGCCTTCTCCCCAGAGACCCTGCCTAACCTGTTTCCCTGTCTGCAGTATGGGGAGGGTAGGGGTACTGAGGCGGTGTCAGTATTGACAACCTGTATAATCCCAGTTGGCATTGAAGAACTGGGGGCGGGGGGGTGGGCGGCTCACAAATGACTAAGGATGATCTTTCATTTAGCACCTACTCCATTCCAGCTCTTTGCCATGTGCTAACTCAGTGAATTCTCACTACAGCCAGATGAGGTTTTAGCCTCGTTTTGTGCCAGAAACGACCCAGCAGAGGCAAGAGGAGGCTGGGCAGTACACAGAGCATGCACCTGGCCCGTGCTGCTCCTTACCACTCTCCCCACACTCCCTAGAGCCTTCTTCCCAGCAGTCCCAGCGGCACCCTTATTATGACCTCTCCCCAGGACTGCAGGATGCAGGCTGGAAGACTGAGAAGCACCAGCTAGAGGTGGATGAGTGGAGGGCCACATGGCTTCTCTCTCCGGAAAAGAAGATCTTGTGAGCAGCCCAGATAGAGGCCCAGGTCCCAGGATAGGAGCCTGGAGCAAGCACACTTTGGCCACAGCAGGATGTGGGAACAGCGGCTTTATTTTCGCTCAGGGGAACTGCTGTGGCAGTTTGGCCAAGGCCTCATGGGCTATAACTGCCAGTCAGAGGGACAGGGCCCCCAGACAGAGATGACGTGGAGAGAAGGGGAACCAGGGCCTACCCTCTCCCGCTCCTGCCGTTCTCCCTTCTCACCACTGCAGGCTCCTCATGCCCATTCATTGTGAGGCTGAGCCCTGCCCTGGCTGTGGCTCATGGTGTCCAACAGAGTTGGCCTCAGGCATAAAAGCCCCAGAGGAACGTGGCCACAGCCATCATTAGCAAGGCATTGAAGTTGACCACACGGGCCCAGCTCGAGTCCTCGCTGATGTCCTCCAGCCGCCTGGCTGCTGCAGCCACCTCCTCCTGGGTAGGGGCAGGGGGACTACCCGCCCCAGCCCCGCTCATCCCACAGAACCAGAGCAGGCACCTGCGGACCAGGCCTGGAGCTGGGGACTGGGGCTCTAGGAAAAATTGACACCGCACAGTTAGTTCGAGGGGACTTGGCTCCCCTAGTCCCCAGCCCCACCTCCTGAAGTAGCGCCTCACCCTCCATGTCCACTGCGTGCTCCGGACACCCGTTCTGCATAGGGGGGGAGGTTGGACCTTCCGGCTCATCAGCATCCAGGTCCTCTCGCTCCTCCTTGCTGTGCCGCAGACTGAAAACCAGGCGGTGGAGCTGGGGAAGGGGGCAGGGACCAAGTGAGTACTGTTCCCCCACCCGGGACCCTCAAGTCTCTTGTCCACCCGGTGCTCCCTCAGCTCCCTCTGTCTACCCTGTACACACAGTTCAGACTCCGTTCACTCCAACCCGACCTTCCATGGCTGCCCTTCGCCCTCAGACTGAACCTGAGTTCTTCAACTGTGTCTTTAAAGCTCTTGGCCCTGGTCAGCCCCTGCTTCATTACCCCAAGTCCCTGTCTACACTCAAATTATAGTCCTTTAGACTCTAGTCTTCTAGTCCTGCTAACAGTGTTCCTTCCTGTGGATATTTGTTCACCTAGTTTCCTCCTGCTACCTTTCCCTCCTTCTCCACCTGTGCAGCCCTGCCCATCCTTCTGCCCAGCTCTTCTGGCCTGGCCCCCAATCAGCCCTGCTCTGGGGCACCTACCCTGCAGCAGCACAAGACCAAACCCTTTTGTGGGCCTTCAGGATAGTACTCTGTCCCTCTCAGCCACCAATCAGATCGGTGTTCTGAGTCCCAGGGGCCATTCCAAGGACTTTGGGGGGCTTTCATCACCTCCCTCACAGTCTTCAAGCCACCTCCCCCCCAGAACACCTCAAATAAATGTCATTTAAATAAAACACTGTGCTTGCTTTGCAAATGCAGCTTCCAACTGGATTGCCAGTCTACCCTCATGAACCCCCAGTATAGAAATCCAGGTGCTCCTCTCACCGGGCATTCCTGGAAGTGGATTGGCAGGCTAGGGGTAGAGAGGGCTGCGCTGACTCACATGGTGCGTATTTGGCGCCCATGCAGAGGCCGGCACTTACGTGCTTGCGTGGGATGGGTGCTGTGGACAGTGAGACTGCAAGGGTGAGGAGGCCGGAGCAGATGAAGAGCACGATGGCAAAGTAGAGGTAGTGCATGCCACAGAGGAGTGCTGGGCACGCCGAGGGTTGCACACAGCTGCCCGAGCCAAGGGAGAACTCAGGAATAAGTCGCGCCAGACCCATAAGCAGGCCCCCAATCAGTCCCCAGAAGGCACCCTGCCGGGGGAGAGAGTGTTCAGCCTCTTCGGGATGTCCAGGTTCTGCCCCAAGCTCACCACCTACACACAGACTCGCCTTCTCGTTGACGCGGGGCACGAAGAGTGCCAGCACGAAGATGGCAGACACAGGTGGTGCCAGGTAGCTGGAGACGGCCTGCATGTAATCAAAGAGCTGCCCGCCCTGCGCTGCCTGCACAACGGGTAGCCAGGCCACGGATACCGCCACGATGAACACCACCCAGAGCCTGCAGCGGGTGACCATCAGGAGATTGCACCCGGGACTCCCCATCTGCCCCTGATCCTACGAGTGTTCCCTGCCCCGCCCCCCCAGGGGGCCGATTGGTGGGGCAGGACCTGGGGGGAAACCCAGGCCGCACCGTCCTACTAGCAGCAGCTCGCGGTCGCTTGCGCGGGGCCGCAGGCGCGTGTAGATGTCCATGGTGAAAAGCGTGCTGCTGCTGTTAAAGATGGAAGCCAGCGAGGACATGAGCGCAGCCAGCATGACCGCCAGCATGAGTCCGCGCAGACCTGCAGGCCGATGGGAGCTGTGAGTCCCGGGCCACCGGGGTATCCCCGGGAGGGTGCGGACTTGGTGAGGGGTGACTCCTCCCAGTGGCAGTCTCCGCAGCCGGCCGGCCCTTACCGTTGGGCATGAGCTTCACAACAAGCCGCGGGTAGGCGATGTTGGAGCAGCCCACCTCGGTACCGCACACGCGCTTACACACCTCGGGCACCACGCACGCCACCTCATCTGCGGGAAAGAGGCCACGACGTGGTAGAACGGGACCTGGTCAGGGAATTCAGATCCCTGAAGTGGGGACGGGAAATCCTAGTGGAAGAGAGATGGGACCTCTGGTGGGAGGTGGGACCGGGTGACAGGATTTCCAAAGCAAAGGACAGTAACGGAAATGGGAAAGAGGCACCTGTAGCCATACACAAGAAAGGGGCTGGCCGGGGCACAGGACTCTTGGTGGGGGCGGGGGTTGCCGACGTTACCCGGATAAAGAATGCGGCTGATCATGCCTGGCATGACCATGAGGAACATGGGCATCAGCTTCAAGTAGCCACACAGTATGCAGCCCGCCTTGATGTGGGTCAGGTTCTTCCCGGCCAGACAGCGCTGCACGATGACCTGCGGCGGGGGCTGTTCAACTACCTGCGTCCAGTCCTGGATACCTCGCCCTCTCAGGCCTTGCCTCTACTCGCTGCTCTAATTCAGGCCTGCCTCTGGCTTAGCGGTGCTGGCAATTCACCTTCATTCAGACCCAGAGTCTTTGGATTCCGCTGGGTTTGGTTTAGCTCCATCCTGGCGAGGTTCCTGACCGCTCAGACCCAGCCTTTGAGCGTCCCCATATGGGTTCCGGTTCCACCCATCTCAGCTCCTCCCACAGCAGTTCTGGTTCTGCCCCAGCCTCCCTCCCGGCCCAAGCCCGACCCCGCACCTGGTCGCTGCACCAGTACCAGCCCGAGACGATGGTAAGACCCAGGAGCAGTGCCGGCCACGGCAGGTCCCCCGTCACAGGGTCCCGGAGCAGATGGTAGGAGTCCGGCCGGGGTCGATAGCAGGAACTTGAGATGTTGCCCACCGCCGGATCCTCAGAAACCGTCAGCGACGTCATTGCCCCCAAGTATTTGTCGAAAAGCCCCGAATACCCGCCCACCTCGTGGAAGGCTGTGAGGGCAAGGCTGTCAGGGGACCCGGCACCCGCGCCAAGGCCCTCCCTAGGACCCACGTGCTGGAGACGCGCGATGTCTCTGCTCCCAGGTTGAGAGCTCTGTGACTCGCATCCTCCGTGCCCCTCCCCCACTGGCTGAGCTCCATACCGTAACCCATGAGGATGAAGGCCCCCCCAAGAATGACGAAGGTCTGCACGGTATCTGTGTACATCAGCGCCGCCAGCCCTCCTGCAACGGGCCTGGGTCAGTGGAGACAGCCCAAATAGGTTGCCACGAGTACATACGGTGTCTTTGTGCGAATTTGAAAAATGCGCCCCTTCCTGGAGAGCAAATTTCAAAGAAATGGCCCATTCTCCAGGATCATGTACCCGGGCATCAGGAGGCAGGACTCAGCAGAATGTGCTTCAGTGACACTCCCACCCAGCACATCTCTCGAGACCACTCCGTCCCTAAGCCCCTGCCACAGCCACCTGTCACAGTGTAGATCATGGTGATGCCCAGAAGGGCGATGACAGAGGCATAGATGTTCCAGCCCAGAGCCTGTTGAATGAATACTGCCCCGGAGAACATGTCCACCTTGGGGGAAGGAGCGATAGCACGGGTCAGGACCCAGGGACCCAGACAGGGTCCCAGGTCTACCTCATGCCCAGACCACGACCCTACGTGGCCCTGCTTCAAAAGTTCTCTTATTTTTCGATGGTCTGGCCTTCCCAGGTCCCACCCATTGTGGCCGAGGCCCAAAACCTTTTCCTTACAGACCCTGCTTCAGTCATGGTTCTTACAAGCTCTTTCTCCTTGGTCCCGCCCCCTCCAGAGTTTTCTAGAGACCTCCACTCCCTGGTCCCTCCCTTCCAGGGCCCCGCCCCGCCCTCCATGAATGCGCACCGAAATCTTGGTGAAGATGTACAGAAAAAGCGAGAGCACTGACAGGTAGAGGCGGATACGATGGCCTCCAAAGCGCTTGCGCAGGTACTGTGGCATGGTAATGACGCCCGCGGTCAGGTACACTGGTGCGAAGACCCAGCCCAGTAACAGCACCACGAACAGCGCCTGTGGGCACAGCTGATGGCTGAGGATGGCTGAGATCCTGCTGTGAGTGAGCCCTCGCCCCTGAAGGGTCTAAGAGACCTCTTCCTGAAAGCGCTATACCAAGGAAAGATCTCACTGGGGACCCAGAGGATGCAACTGCAGAGGATGTCCCTGGGCCCGGGATATTAAGGGACAGGGTCTTGACACCTCCTTGGGCCCTTAACTAGAGCCCTCCTAGTCCTCCCAGGCCAAGACCCCTGGCCGGTCCCTCCCAAGATGGTCCCTATCCCTTCACCCCCCAGCACATGAATCCAACCACAGACCCCTCAGCCTGACCACAGCCTCTGCCAGGAAGGGCTGCCTCCCCTCTCCTCTCCACCCAACCAAACCTTCTGTCCCTCAAGACTCAGCACAGAGACCTCCTCCTCCAGGAAGCCCTGATCTCCCCAACCCTCAAAGACAAGCCTCAGTCCCAGAGCTTTGTCTCCTTCCCACTTCTGCGAGGGACTTTAATTTGGTCCAGGGATCTTCACAGGCCACAGCTTCAGAGAGCATCAGCGCAAGCACTTCACCATCTCTGAGGCTGTTCACCCCACTTCAGAGAAGAGTAAATCAAGGCCACAGAGGGTAGTGGCTGGTCCAGGCTTACACAGCGAGTCAGGAGCAGGCCCTAAAAGTCGTCATCTCCAAAATCCCCCTGCCTGCAAGCTGGATGTGTGACCCTCACTCGAAGCCCAACCACACCCCACCACTTGGGAAGTCCCACCTCCAGTCTTACATCCCCCCTGCTTGGAGCCTCCCCAGGTGTGACAGTTCTAGGGGTTCCCACCGGGGGTGGGGTATCAGCAAAAAGGGGGTCTCACATTCCACTCAAATCCAGCCACAGCCAAGCCGCTTGCAGCACCAGTCCCTGCCAGGCCC